CTCAGGCTGGTCTCGAACTCCTGAGCTCAAACAATCCGCCCGCCTCGGCCTCCCAGAGTGCTAGGATTACAGGTGTGAGCCACCGCACCCGGCCTACAATTTTATTTTATTTCACTTTTTTCAAGACAGAGTCTTGTTCTATTGCCCCAGCTAGAGTGCAGTGACATCATCATAGCTCACAGCAACCTCAAACTCCTGAGCTCAAGCAATCCTCCTGCCTCAGCCTCCTGAGTAGCCAGCACACACCACAGCTCCTGGCTAATTTTTCTATTTTTGGTAAAGACAGAGTCTCTCTTGCTCAGGCTGGTCTCAAATTCCTGAACTCAAGCGGTCCTCCCACCCCGGCCTCCCAGAGTGCTAGGATTACAGGCGTGAGCCACCACACCTGGCCAGTTGCAAAAGAGAGTAGGCTGCAAGTCCAGTAAATGATAGCATCTACTCCTAGTTATTGTGGAAATAAAATCCCCCTCCCCTGAATAAAACTTCCAGACATAAAGTGTTAGGGTGGAAAGGCTAGTAGGTGCTCACGGAGCAGGTGGAGAAAGATTTTTCACACAGAGATTAAGCAATATAAAAGTAAAAAAAAAGTTTATTTCACCCTCTCAGAAGGATAGAGAGAAGGAGAGAGTGGAAAAGAGAGAGAGGGAGAAAGGGGGTGGTGGAAAAGAGCAGAGAGACGTGTGGCATCCCAAAGAAAGAGAAGGGAGATGCCAGCAGCCAGGCCAAGTGGCTTGCTGACTTTAAAAGGGATGAAGAGAAAAAAAGTAGCCATGGCTGTTAGTTGATAACAAAAGCGGCAGCAGGTAGATATCAGAAACTGCAAGAATGTCAAAGTCCAAGACTTGGTTTCCTTCCCTTGGAGAAGGCAGTATCACAGGAGATGTGACTGTCCTGGAGATATGGTTGAGGCTGTAGTTCCTTCTCCTGCTGTTTACTCAGGAACCCTATAAAAGCAGATTCTCAAAAAACAATTTTGAAAGAGAGAGATTTACATCTATTTTCCGTTCATTCAGCTCTTTTCAGAAGTTGTGCAAAACAGGACTCCTGCAGGCTACCTGTTAGTGAGGGAGCTCATAGGATTGATCTTTAACCATGACTGGGGAAATTGTGGGATTAGGGAGTTTCCTATGTGAGATTAGGTATTTTCCTGTTATTTTTGCAAGGCTGCTCCTTTCATAAAGGATGTGAGGGAAGAATACATAAGGAAATTTGGAGGAAGGAAAGGCATTCCAGGCAGAGGGAACACCCAGTGCAAAGGCCCTGAGGTGGGAATAATTTTGCCATATTCGAAGAGCAAGAAGGAAGCTAGGGTGCCTGGAGCTGAGTGAAGAGGAGGAGAAGGTGCGAGATAAAATCATAGAAGGAACGCGGTCCCTGCGGCTGAGCACAGTCCCTTACCCTTGGACACACAACTGAACTACATTTCCCAGGGGCCCTTGCTGCTAGGCGTGATCACGTGATGGGGTTCCAACCAATGGAACGGGAGTAAAAGTACTAGGGCTGCTAGAGAAAGCGAGGCATCTCGGCTGGTTGTTTGGTGTCTGGAGCTTCCAGACCTGGATTCAAATCCCCTCCGAGTGCACCTGGACTGCCTGCACTTTCCTCCCCTGCACCTCAGTCCCCTCAAGCCTCCCGTAAAATGTGGGCGATAATCCCTTTTTTACGAAGTTAGACGATTAAATAAAATGGTGGTGGGCATCCTAAGGCCTCGGGAAGGATTGTTGGGCGATTCTGGAGACCCAGAAAAGGGTCGGGCCTGAGCCCTCCCTCGAGAGTGTCCTGGGCACAAACAGCTAGGCGACAAGCTAGGGGCGATCGAAGCCGTATTTGCCAGCTGTGTTCCGGAGGACACCCGCCAGCGAGCTTGGGCAGGGGCGGTCAGGGAGGAAGCATTTGTCCTGTTCTTTTTACCATTGGGTGACGAGAGGGAAAAAGTGGGCATTCCGGGCATCGCGCTTGAGCAAAAGCAGGGAAGCTGGAAGCAGCCTGGTGTGTTGCAGGAGTTCAGCTCTGGAAATAGGGGGTGGGGCTGGAGCGCGGGGCGGGGGGCGGGATCTTGGCTGGGAAAATAGGTCCACACCACCACCGTGTGGCCATTTGGGAGTTTGCAGTCAAGCACGCTCAGAAACCACTTGGTCAACTCTTGAAGTG